GGGTGGCGCCCCAACCCACAATTGGCTGTGAGCCAGACCACGGGCTGCACCTAGATTGGGCCTGCCCTCTGCCACCAGGGAGCAGGCCTAAGCCAGCAGGTCGTTATCTCCTGAGAGGTCCCAGACTGCGAGAGGGCACAGGCTGGGCTGAGGGACCCCCTTCCCCCAAGTGCACAAATTTTTGTGCACCGGGCCTCTAGTATCAATGAATAAAAGACAAATTTGCTGGTACATTGAAGATGGAGGACAAAGTCACTAAATAACAATACAATGCCAGGTGGTAAGTGAAACGGAAAAAAGGCAAAGCAGGCTTAGGAAGAGAGTGAGTGCTAGGGACTGGGGTCTCAATGACCCTGACAGTGTGGCAATGGGCAGCAGAGATCGAAAACTAGGGAGGAAGCTAGTCATGCTGGCTTCTGAGACAAGAGCTTTCTAGGCAGAAGGAGCAGCAAGCATACGTTATGATTCTTTTTTCCAATACAACACATAATTAGAGTGATCTACAACTAGTCTTCTATATAATGATTGTGTTCTTTCCACCACCCAAATTTTTCTCCTGAGTTCTTTCAATTTGCTGGGCCCTATTCAGGAGACTACTACTCTATTCCCCTGTTGGAAAGGCTGCAAACATAGTCCTTGGAAATTATGTATTTGTCTGACATTAAATTTGTTTTTAAAAATCTTATCAAATAACTCCCTAAACATGTTCACAGAAAGCTTTATTATGTTTTCACAAAGACCTAAGTTCCTGTTGAGTGAGACAGAACAGGAAAGGCTTAGGAAAAAATTAGTTAAAGACGCTAGTACATTTTCACAGGACAATGATTATTAGGCCATATTAAATTCCACACAAAAGCCTGTGATCATTTAAATCATACAGGTCATCAATGAACGGGCCAATGAAGTGAAGAGAGATCAAGAACATAAAAGTGATGACAAGGGCACAACCCTCTCCAAGAGAAAACGAAAGGCTTTTCTTGACCTGCTTTTAAATGTGATGGATGATGAAGGGAACAAGCTAAGCCATGAGGCTATTCGAGAAGAAGTGGACACTTTCATGTTTGAGGTATTTTGTGTTGTCATGTTAGTCTCAGGTATCATCATTAAACAAATTACAGTTCCTGTTACATAACAAGAAAATGTTTTTGTTCTTTTTTAATCTTGGGATTTGAAAATGCTAAGGATGAAGAAATAGCCAGCACTAATAGTTAGACATGTTTTAGCATTTAATAGTAAAATTAGAAATAACATGAAATAGGAAGAATTATTTGTAGCCACCTTTTAAAATATGTTGGGATGCTTTGTATAAGGGATGATCTATTCTCAATTTCTTTTTAACTTAAAAAAATAAAAAATTTATAGGAATTCTTTAAAAATGTTTTTAGCATTTTTGAAAATTCTGATCACATTTTGAAGTAGCTTGCTATAACTGATGAAGAGTCATTATATTGTAGTTAGAAATTACAAAGTTTAAGACCCTAATTAAATACCAGACCAACTTTCTTTTTCAGAAAAAGCTATCGACTTGTATGGTTTTTTTTCTTCCCAACAGCAGGTCAGTTTTCTGTCATTATTCCTTCAAACAGGTTCTCTATTCATTGCTCCACTTCCTCTCCTTCTGGCACTCCTATTATGTGAGTGTTATTTCCTTTCATGTTTTCCCAAAGCTCCCTTAGGCTCTCCTCCTGCTTTTTAAGTTTTCTTTCCAGTTGCTGCATTTGTGTGTTTTTTCCTACCTTGTCTTCTAATTTGCTGAGTTGGTCCTCAGCCTCTTATAATCTGGGGTTGAAGCCTTCCAGTATGTTCTTTATTTCAGCTAGGTCATTCCTCATTTCCTCTTGATTCCTTTTCATGTTGGTGACATTTTTATTCAGCTTCTTATAATTCTCATTGAGTTGTGTGTATTTGTCATCCAGACCTTTGACCATCCTTACAACCAATACTCTGAATTCTTTCTCTGATAAGTTACTTGCCTCCATCTCATTTAATTCCCTTTCTGTTGATTCCTTTATTTCTTTCCTTTGGGGATTGTTTTTATGTCTCCCCACGCTTTTTCATTTTTTTAAAATTAAATCTTTATTGTTCAGATTATTACAGTTGTTCCTCTTTTATCCCCCCATAGCTCACCTCCACCCAGTTTCCACCCCACCCTCTGCCCTTACCGCTGCCCCACTGTCGTCATCCTTAGTTGCACGATTTTTGTCGTCTCTTCCCACACACCCACACCCCTTTCCTCCCCAAGAATTGTCAGTCCATTCCCTTTCTATGTCCCTGATTCTATTATATTCAACAGTTCATTCCGTTCATCAGATTATTCATTCACTTGATTCTTAGATTCACTTGTCGATAGATGCATGTTTGTTGTTCATAATTTGTATCTTTACCTTTTTCTTCTTCTTCCTCTTCTTAAAGGATACCTTTCAGCATTTCATATAATACTGGTTTGGTTGTGATGACCTCCTTTAGCTTTTCCTTATCTGTGAAGCTCTTTATCTGACCTTCAATCCTAAATGAGAGCTTTGCTGGGTAGTAATCTTGGTTGTAGGTTCTTGCTATTCATTATTTTAAGATAGTGACTAGAATTATGACTGACAACATTATATAAGGTTTTTAGGAATTTCATATGAATTTTAGAACACTCATATTAATAACTTTTACCCATCCAATGTAAGTTAAGAAACTTTATCACTCCTTATTTGACTATGCTCCCAATGAAATTTAACATGCTAAGTAAGTATAATTAGTTTAATATCGTCCTTTTTTAAAAAAGAGAAAAAATTA